AACCGGTTGCCCGGTTAGAACCGGTTTTATTATATTCGGTTTAAAACCGGTTCTGATTTTGAAAAGGTGATTAAAACTGGTTCTTGAAAATAAAACCGGTTCCAACCTCTACACCATACCTATTTTTGTAAAAGAATAAAAAATCCATCAATGTTAAACGTAAATAATAAAAGAGGAATGTATTTTTTATTTGCCTTAAACTATTGGCACACATATAGCCATAGGTTTGGTTTATGGGATTAAATATTGAGGCACCATTAGAATAAATAAATGATCCTTCTTGAGTTTCTTTTTCCTGATAATAGAGTGAGACAATATCTTTGTTTGGTGGTACATTTAAAACCCATTTAGTTTTGCATTCCCAAACCACAAGTAGTGTCATATCACTGTTAACTATTACAAAATCTGGCTGTCCAACAGTACCCTTTAAAGCATGACCATCCAAAAAAAGAATTGATCGATCAAACAGTGTTAATGTCTCGAATATATTCACATCTGATGCTGTCCAGATGTCCTTTTCGCAAGTGACGGTATGATGCTGACTGAAAGTTGGTTTTGGGTATTTATTATTCACATCCAGTTGCCAGGCTAATACTTCTTGTTCAAACCCTGTCCAATTCATGATCTCATCAGGGAAACACTGTTCAGTAGATTCAATAGTTGAGTTTGATTTATCACGTAAATCAAGGTAGACCAGATTTGGTATGGTATTTAGAATAATTTCTGGTAAAGAAATTTCTAAAGCGTGGTTGATAGATGTTGTAATAGAAATCACGGGATCTTCTTCAGGTACATCAGGAAATTTTCCCCACCACAATATTACGTCCATAAATTTTAATATGTAAAGTAGTAATATTTGCATAAAAATTATGTAATATTTACACTCGATGTAATAATTGCATAATTTTTGTATGCTTATTTGCATAATATTACGGGCCTGCTGTAAACTTATGTAAGTAGTGTAATAATTACATAAATCCACATCAGAAAAATTTCCTGATGTAGTTTTTCCTCTCTTTCAATAGTTTTGTGTTTCTTTTTTAGTTTAACTTTCTCAATAGCTTTTCTCTTAGTAGAAGTGATATCTTGGTTTTCCTTTTCACTTAGAGATTTTAGTTGTTCTTGAATTATTTCCAGTTTAATTTCTGACTGAACTACTTCTTTCTTCTTAGCCAAAATCATATTAATTTCTTTCTCACTTAATTTTCCAGCAAGATTTTCTTTATTTTTTTTTAATTGTTTTTGAGCAAGATGACTGCTACTATCTCTACTCAATTCTTCTTGAGCTTTGAGTAAGTCATCAAGAGAATCTTGTCGATCAGGATTTAATTTATCTTTTAGATTGGCAACTGATCAAAACTAGTTTTTTGTATTTCTAATTTTTGTATTTTTAAGTCTGATTCTCTTCTTCTTCTAGATCTAATATAAAAAACATTTTTATTGAAACAATAAATACATGTTTCTAATAACTAGAATGATAAGATCAATAGAATGACAATAAGTGGTGGCAATAACCACCATTTAATGATAAAAACTTACCTCTTGTTGGCACCATATTCATTATCCTTATTTCTTCTCTTTGCTTTTCCTTGATCCTTGTTTGTCTTTTTTTTTTTTTTTTTTGAAAAAAATTTTGTTAATTGATCTACATATATACAGATACACATACTACTATATACATATCAGTCGTGGGACATGTCACAAAAATTTATTTCTATTGCAAAAACATAGTGAATTTTGATGATTGGCATCGAATTTTTCATAGTAAAATTTACAATTGAATACTTTCAAACCC